AGAATTACTCATTATTGCTATCTAAGATAATTAGACGAGCCAAAACTAAATACTACGAAGATAAATTTACCCAAATAAAGAGCAACATTAAACAAACTTGGAGAACAATTTCTCAAATATTGGGATCAAAGAAGTCTTTCAATAACAAACCGACTCTCCTGTCTAATAACGATGGTCAGCTTTCAGCCTCTGATTCTGCTATTGAGTTCAATAGGTTCTTCTCTTCCATTGGTTCATCCCTTGCAAATGATATTCCATCTTCCAGTACAGACATTAATGACTATCTTTCAGGTAACTATCCACAGTCTCTGTACCTAAAGCCTATTAATTCCACTGACGTCAATGAGATAATCCTTTCCCTTAAAACCAAGTCTGGTGCCCTTGAGGAGATACCAACTTTAATTTACAAAAAAGCCTCCAGATCTTTAGCCCCTGCTATTGCTTTGCTCTTCAACAAGTCACTTGAATTCCAAACCTTCCCAGATATTCTAAAAAAAAGCGAGAGTAACGCCTGTCCACAAATGTGGTAATCTCACAGATGTTAACAACTACAGACCTATATCTATCCTGCCAAACTTGTCAAAAATTTTTGAAAAACTAATCTATAAGCAGCTTTACTCATATCTAGTCAAACTCAATATACTTAGCCCTTGCCAATATGGCTTCAGACCCAAAAAAAGCACTAACGATGCACTTATTAGTATGCTTAACTTGATTCATACAGCTCTTGATAAAAATGAGTTCCCTGTTGGGTTGTTTGTGGACCTGCGTAAAGCTTTTGACACTGTCAACCACCAAAACCTTCTTCTTAAATTACATCATTATGGAGTCAGAGGACACTCCCTACAATACCTCAAATCCTACCTTACTGACAGGCTCCAATATGTTTCTGTGAATAATACAATTTCTCCCACCCTACCCATCAACATTGGTGTTCCCCAGGGCAGCATACTTGGCCCTCTCCTCTTTCTCATCTACATTAATGACCTTCCAAATGCCTCCCAACACCTCAAACCAATTCTATTTGCTGACGACACAACCTTCATTTACTCCAGTCCTGATCCCCTTGCTCTAAATGCCACAGTAAATACTGAGCTAAATAAAGTCCATCTGTGGCTAACTGCCAACAAACTCACCCTTAACATTGACAAAACCTTCTATATTCTGTTTGGCAATAAATCCTCTAATCAAATAAATCTCAAAATAAACAATACCCAAATTTGTAACAAATTAGATGGCAAATTCCTTGGCATTCTCATTGACCACAAGCTTAATTTCCAGGGACACATTCTAAACATATCAAAAAAAGTTTCAAAAACTGTGGGCATTCTTTCTAAGATCAGATATTATGTACCACGCCCTGCCCTGGTGACTCTATTACTCCCTTATCTATCCATATCTCAACTATGGTATTTGTGCTTGGGGCTCTACTACCCAAAATCACTTACGTCCTCTAATTACTCAACACAAAGCTGCTATTAGGACAATATCCAATTCTGGCCCCAGACATCACTCGGTACCCCTACTTAAATCTCTGAATATGTTAGACATTAAGTCACTGCACATTCTCTCATGTGTATTATACATATATAAAACGCTAAACTATAATGCCAATCCTGATCTCAAAAGCTTCATAGAAGGTTGTATCAGAACCCATGAGCATCACACCAGAAATAAATACAGTTTTGATATTCCTAGAGTACGACTTAATCAAACTAGAAATGCTCTACAAATCAAGGGGCCCAGAATGTGGAATGACCTTCCCAACCATGTTAAAGACTGTACCTCTCTCAACCAGTTTAAGTTAAAAGCGAAGCTATACCTAATAAATTCCCTGTAACCTACCTTACCCTTCTATTGTCAACCAATGTCTGTTTTTTTCTTTAAAGAGCGCTGTTTGTCGACATAATTGTATTTGTGCTGCTTTTTCATCTATGTTTTCATTTCTTGTTTTCATTCTACTCAATTAGTATTAAGCTTGTCATTTAAGTTTATCATGCCCGAAACGCTTTGCGTAATAGTGGCTTTAGGCATTGTATGTACTAGCTCTACCTATAAGTCAAACAATCCTTGTAAATATTTATTGTATGTATGTACCTTACCTAAATAAAATTGTATTGTATTGTATTGTATTTACCTTATTTACCTGAGGGCCACCATATCTGTAGCGGCCAAGGCGACGATAGAAACCCGACAGCCTGTCGAAAGTCTCCCCATTTGTCCTGATGATTCTGTCCAACTAGATTTTAAAATTCTGTAGCGTATTGGCACTTACTGTTTCGGCGGGTAGGCAGTTCTATGGGTTTATAACTTCCTGGGTGCAAAAAGTATTTCCTGTTTTCTGTCCTGCAATGTGGATTGTTGCGCTTTAAACGCCTTGAGTTCCTTGTTCGTCTTACATCTGACCTTTTGAAGAAGTGGTCTGGATCAATATCCTCCAAATTGTTCATTATTTTAAATTTCAACGAAGTCAGCCCTGTCATGTCTGGTTTGCAGTCTTGCTAGCTCTGTGGCCCTTACATTGCATTCTTGTACAGCCACTAGTACGCGTAGCGTTTCGGGCAAGTCCTTAATCCTATGGTCCCTGGAATACGATCCCCTGCCGCGAAGAATCGTTTTTTCATCCAAGTACACATTTTACTGTTGCGTTAAACAGAGGCTACAGTTAAGGAATTGCGCCCAGTAAATCCTCCCCGGCCAGGATACGAACCCATGACATAGCGCTCGCGGAACGCCAGGCGAGTGTCTTACCACTACACCACGGAGACTGCCTCAACCATTCCTGGTATGACAGTCGAAATGGGGCTCAGTTCAGAAATCCTTTTAGTCTCCCGTCGTTGAACTTTCTCCGAAGCTTTCTTCATGTGTTTTTGAAGTTGAGGTTTCCAGGCCGGGATACAATAATCCAGGTGTGGACACACCAGAGATTTCCACGTTCTTCCCACCACATGTGCCTTAATTCACTCTCCCGCCCTATGGGTAAAACTACCAGCTGCCCTATGGGTTGGGAGCTCCGCGCTATGGGCCTCCTGGCGTTGGGGGCTCGAAAAATGTAAGACACCTGTCAACAAAAGCCATTCTAGAGCTAAGTCAACTCATGTAAAAGGAATGAATGAGGGCCACAGGGCTACGGGAGACATCTCCCGTCACGCAGGGTGTAGTCGCACCTCCACAGATCTCCAGTATCAGCTCTTGATACTGATAATGGCTCAAACGGGCCACCACTTACGGACTATTCATGCCGTGCCATCTTTTGGGTGGCTTAATCTTCATCAATCAATCATCAATCAATCAGCCACAGGGCTAACAACACTGCAGACCAGGCATGGTAAGGCGGATCTCATTGAAACTTTTCAAATACTGAACAAAATTGAGGCTGTTGATTCTGACAACTTCTTCAAAAGGTCAGATGTAACTCAAACAAGGAGCAACGGTTTCAAGCTAACAAGCCACAATGTAGGACTGAGAACAGGCGATGCTTTTTCACCCACAGGGTTATAAACTCATGGAACCGCCTACCCGCAGAAGCCGTAAATGCCAAAACTCTGTTAACATTTAATGTACAGTTGGAAACGATTATCAAAGCAAATGGAGGGACCTTCGACAAGTCACCGGCTATTTCTCATCGAGGCCACTAGTGTTAGTGGCTCTCGGGTAAACTCAGGTAAAATACTAAACATTTTTAAAAGTTAGATGCAACAAAAAAAGGAATAACGATTTCAAGACCAACAAGCCATAATCATGTACGACAGAAACAGGAGTCTTTTTCACCCACAGGGATGGTTTCATGGGTGAAAAAGCACCTCTTTTTCACCCATGGAACAGCCTACCCGCCAAAGTTGTAACTGCCAAAACCTATATTTTATAACTCCAGCTGGAAAGATCACAGACAAATGGACCTTTAATGAGCCGCCGGCTTCCTGCCCTCGTAGAGATCATTAGAGTGTCAGTGGACCTCAGGTAAACTCAGGTATATTCAGAAAACATGCTTTTTCCCCCATAGAGTTATAAACTCATGGAACTTTATTTTATTTTATTTATTTTATTTTATTTATGCATATACAAGAATGTACATAAGGAATGTGAGGATACAATTATGGTAATTACAGTCTTGTAAAGCCACTAGCACGCGCAGCGTTTCGGGCAGGTCCTTAATCTAAGAAAATTTTAAGGAGGTAAATACTTGCAAAATTTATAGACAAAAAAATGATAACAGATTACATAGAATGAAAAAAAAAAAAGATGAGAGAAAATTATAGGTACAGTATATTAAAGCACATAGGTAGCTATGATTGATTGCAATGACAGCTTAAAATGGTAGTTGCAACAAATTGGTAGGCACAATACAGCAGAAACAATATAAGATTGATTGCAATGACAGCTTGAATGGTAGTTGACAAAAATTGGTAGTCACAATACAGCATATGGCTAGCACATAAAAGAAGACAGCAATGAACACAATGATAAGGTTGTTTGATATTACATAAAAATTAGGAGATTGGGTACCACTAGGTACAGAGCAAATTAAAGCTCAGTGTAGGAAACTAAATAGATGAAGTTAGGTACTTTTTGGTTTTGCTTTTAAATAAGGCAAAAGTTTTACTTTTTTACTAACTGCCTACCAACCGAAGCGGTAAATGTGAAAACACTGTTGAATTTACAAATCCAGCTCAATAAAATCCTCAGGACAAATGGCGGACCTTTGACAAGCCTCCGGCTTCCTGTCCTCGTCGAGGCCACTAGAGCAATAGTGTTCGGGTAAATTAAGGTAAACTACAGGAAGTGCTGAGAAGTCCACAAATTAGCTGATCTCGTATAATAAGAGGACCAAAATTGGTCTATTTATAAGTTTTAAAATTCATATTAATTATAATAATAATGATTATTAATTATTAGTGAGATATAATTAAATTATTAGTGAGATAAAGTGGTCAATCTTGCAATGGGGCGCAGCCGTAGCGGGCGTCTCAAGCCTCCTCTTGTCTCTGGCTTAGACTCACCAATAGAATGGAATCTCCTCTCGTTCCTTCCTTTGACCAACCATAACAGTGTAGCTAGGCTAATTATCGCATTACAATTGTGATTAACAAGTCTGTTAGCGAATATAAAGAGTAGTTCAGAGGCATGTGGTAGTAGTTGGAGGAAGAGAGTATAAGGTGGACGGAGGCAGCACCATGGCCGCCCTCGCTCTCCGCCTCTACCAGAAAACTGATCCAAATGTCGATTTTGGTGTGTTGTTGGAGAACAAGAAGTCCAAGAACAGCCTTCTCTTCCAGGCGGGGACCGTTGCTACTCTGTGTGAGTGTGTGAGGAAGGGGGAGTCCGTGCTGCAGGTGGTGGTGGTGCAGGAGAGAGAGAGGCTTCTGTCTTGACCTGTCACTCTGACAGCTCTAGGGTACAGGTCACTTCGTACCTAAAACAGTTCCACGTAACCTAACTCAGTGGAACGTAGCCCAATGTAATGTAATGTAACTCAGTGTAATGTATTCCAACGTAATGTGATCCAATGTAATGTAACCCAACGTAGCGCAACCCAATGCAACGTAATGTAACCCAGTGTAACGTAACCCAATGTAACGTAACCCAATGTAACGTAATTAAATCTAACGTAACCCAATGTAACGTAATTAAATGTAATGTAACCCAACGTAATGTAACGTAACCCAACGTAAAGTAACAAAACTTAACCCAACATAACGTAATGTACCGTTAACATAGCCTAACTCAACCTCACCTCAACTCAAGTTCACACAGTGTAACCAAACGGCATTGTTCCGTGCTCGGCGTAGAGCCGTGGACAGTTGTCGACCGAAAAGTCCCGCGTATGATTTCTTCTTATGTGGGGGTGAACCGTCTCGCTGCCACACCACCGCTTGTTCTGGTCCGCCTCTTACTCATAGCGACTTGACCTCATAGGGGCCTTGACCTAGGGGCCTCGTAGCCTGGTGGATAGTGCGCAGGACTCGTAATTCTGTGGCGCGGGTTCGATTCCCGCACGAGGCAGAAACAAATGGGCAAAGTTTCTTTCACCCTGAATGCCCCTGTTACCTAGCAATAAATAGGTACCTGGGAGTTAGTCAGCTGTCACGGGCTGCTTCCTGGGGGTGGAGGCCTGGTCGAGGACCGGGCCGCGGGGACACTAAAAAAGCCCCGAAATCATCTCAAGATAACCTCAAGATAAGAAGATAGCCAGTATGCAGCCAAAAAACCTACATTTTTTTTAAATTAGCATTTTGTTCCATTCACCTGATCAACCAGGCTGTGATTCATACGTCAGGCTGTGAGCAGCCGCGTCCAAGAGCCTGGTTGACCAGTCCAGCAACCAGGAGGTTAGGTCGATGACCGGGTTGCAGGGGGTCACTAAGCCCTGAAACCAACTCGAGGTACAGTATACTCATGTTATACCTGGGCTCTAGAAGACTTGAATCGTGGAGCCCATGTAAAAAATAAAAAAATAAAATGTTTATTTAGGTAAGGTACATACATACAATAAATTTTTACAAAGATTGGTTGACTTATAGGTAGAGCTAGTACATACAATGCCTAAAGCCACTATTACGCAAAGCGTTTCGGGCATGTGTTTGAGGCCGAAGCTCAAAGATTTCTATTCAGCATTTTGTATTACATTTGAGGTACAAAAAAGCTCTGCTATTTCCAACTGTGCCATAACATTAAAAATCATTGTGCCAGGTAAATAAAAAATCATGGTTAAAAAACATTATCCCTAATTTGTAATATAAATTATTGTTCTCATTATCTAAAACCCAGACTTTGTTCCGAAGGCTTGTGTCAATTTAAATACCTGTACACTCAGTACTCATAATTTGGTCATAATCATTGTGGGGGTGGGGGTGGGGGATTGGGTCCTTTGACAAACCACCGGCTTCCTGTCCTCATCGAGGTCACTAGTGTGTTACTGGCCCTCGGGTAAATTTCATAATTGAAATTTCAAATACAAAAAAATATTGAGTGTTTTCCATTTATGCCGCAAAAATAATTAAAATTTTTTATAATAAAAATTTAAAATGTTTAAAATTATTTTTAATTGGTTATTGTATATTATACAAAATGTACTGTACTGTACAGTATACAACATTATGAACACAACAATGTTACTAGGAAATATATCTTTGTACATCCCCCCCTCCTCCCCCCCCAAAAAAAAAATCCATGTTTTTTTGTTTTTCAAAGATTTTGTTGTTTTCTAGTTGATCTGGGTTGTTGTTGAATTATTTTGTTATGCATTTATTCACATTATTTGAGATGTATGGATGAGGGGGACAGCCTGTGACTTGTTAACAGGCATATAGAGTTTTCCATTCCAATAGCTTCCCCTTAAGACGTCCAACCACTGGAGCTGGACGCGCGACAGTCTCGCTTCGTGCAGGTCGCCGTTCAATCCCCGACTGTCTTCGAGTGGTTGGACACCATTCCCTTCTTCGCCGCCGTTCCATCCCAAATCCTTATCCTGATCCCTTCCAATTGCTATATAGTCGTAATGGCTGGGCACTTTCCCCTGATAGTTCCCTTTCCCCCCTAAGACTTGGTCTACTCTTCTTCCTTTTTATCACTAATCATTATAAGACTAAACATGCTGAATGAATCTTGAATCAGAAAAAACCCATTTACATGCAAAGTAAATGTTTCCCAATCTATTTAAATCAACTTCAGTACTGTTATGCTTACAAAATAATATAACCATATTATGTAAACGTATCATAGGGAATAATTGCAGGTGATGAGTCACAATAACGTGGCTAAAGTAAGTTGACCAGACCACACACTAGAAAGTGAAGGGACGACGTTTCGGTCCGTCCTGGACCATTCTCAAGTCGATTGAGGGGGAGACTTGAGAATGGTTCAGGACGGACTGAAACGTCGTTGTCCCTTCACCTTCTAGTGTGTGGTCTGGTCAACATAGGGAATAATTATTTGTGAGAGGTTTGAAGCAAGTATATTTGGAGACTTTTAGCTACTTCTGTATGGGATGCCATTAGAATCTACCATGAACCAGTTAGTGACTTGGTTTGGAGGCTGGTGGGTCTTTGAGAATATTACATGATTTGAAACAAATTTTCTAAACATTAATATTAATAATAATAATAATACAGACAGAGATTGTTTATTTGTCCTATACTGTATTTGCATTATAAGGGTGGTAGTAACATGGCTTCTCAATGCTTATGTTTTAACAGCTCAGCCCGAGACGGATGCCATCCGTGGTGACCATTATGGCAGACTTCTCGATGCCTATGCTTGCCTTGGGGTTCTTCAAGTTTGCCCTCGTAAGTATTTTCATCATCATTTGTTCCATTTGCAGCTAACATAATAGATTTGGAGTGATGGATTATTTCAATCATTAGTTAGACATACATATTACCAAATTCTACTTTCTAATTGTTCATTATGTCAATACTGTATATATACGATGGGCCACATTGTTACTATAAGTTCTGTCTAAACAGGAGGATGAGGAGCAAAAAACACATGTGATGAGAGCATGAGAAAGTAAGCATTAGTAACAGCCATTCAGATGATAAATATATAATAGATAATGAGAACATCTAATATGAGGGATGCCACAAAAATGATGGTAGCCTTCAAAGCACTAGTGCTATCTCATTTCCAGTACTGTATAGTACTGTATGGCCCTTGCATCCTCATTCAGGGTAGGCAAGAATAGAATAGCTTTGACATTTTTACCATACAAGGACAATAAAGTATGGCGAGTTGTAGGATTGACATAATTGTCCTCCTACCATCCTATTACTATCTTTTATTCATAAAAATAAAAGCTATTTATTATTTGCTGTTTATAAATAGCTATTTACAATTTCCCATTTTTTTTATGAACTAATATCCTTGAAAAAATATTTTCTGGATTGGTCCATTTTCTAAAGTAAAAAATTTGTTTTGGTAAACCTTTGGTACCATGATCTTTACTACATTATAAGAATGTATTATATTAACAAGAAATAATTATACTGAGGTGGTTTAGCTGTACCTACACAAGTTGAGTCACTACTGTGTTACTGGTTCACGTTAAGCAGAAATGAGTTATACTGTATACTGTATATAGATGACATGCTTAGCTAGTCATAACTGCAAAAAGTCCTTGAATGTTTGTACTCACACTCTTTAAGTACAGTACCTCTTTAAGTACAGTACAGTACAGTATTTGCAACTTGGTTTCTTGTTATACTGTATATCATGAATATTAAACATTGTTTTTGTTGTGTGTACCTAGTCCTCATTTAGGAATTCTGTATGGTGATATAGGCAATTTTTATCATTTTATTTTGTAATACCTGTATAGGAAAGGGCTAGCATATTCAACTTCAATTGGGGAAAACAAAAACTGTTAATGTCAACACAGACTTCCGAATTATCACTTAATATGTTGCTTTCAGATCTTTTTGTTTCAGAATATAGTTGAGCAATATTGTTGGGATGATTGTGTATCTGCCAGTACAGTTATGAAACTATTATATTTGTATATTTCCAAATCCTTTTTATTAACATGCCAGATCTTTTGCAACATTGCTGTAGCATCACTTTGATAAATGTTGAGTGAACTGTTATGAACTGTTATGTTGGTGATAGCACTGTTTATTGTCAGGCTTCACTGGTGTCAATTGTCAACTTTTGTATATAGGCTGCTAGTTGGAATATATGAATATAATATGTCATCTTCCTGTCATGATATATAACAATCTTTTGGTAGCCATCATGTTTCCAATCTTGGATCCCCCTCTTGAATATTCATGTAAGTAATGGGGTTGCCAAGCTCATCCCACTAGGGATTTTGAGCCAGTGTACACATTTCTCTAAGACTAAATTATACAATTTGGAAATCAATTATTAATTTTGAACAATAGAATTAGGCTCTTTAGTAATTGTAAATTGTGCTGAATTCATTAATATGTATTGGGGAAAATTTAATTTTAAGATTAGTATTTTGAATAATGGAGAACAGGAGAATAGGCTGTATTTTCAAGCCAAGCTATGCATACAATGTTTGAGCCTACCAGTAATTCTTCTGCACTAAATTAATTTTGTTTGAGAGTTTGAAGGTTGTGAAATGTTGGTCATTGTCATTGAATTGCTATCTAGATGTGAAAATTCATAGGTGTTTTGAGTATAGTATGATAGAAAGTTCTTTTTGAATACCTCATTTTGTAATTATTGGTACAAAATATTTTGAAACCAACATGGTATAGGTTTGTATTAGTGTTTTATAAGTAAATTTTGTTATAGAATATTTTATCCTGATGCATTTATCAGTGACACAAGCCAACATTATCTGCATCTTGTGTTTTCTCTTGCAATGCATGGGGGGGATTGTCTGGAATTTAGAGTTCCTCATTTGGCAGTTGGGCATGTGTAGGTTTGAGCCCCTATTAAATAATGGAGAGAAACAAACTTAGGGAAATAGATCCTATGACTCACAATCCCATTAAGTGTGTTGTAGCTTGGATGAGACTAGCACTTACGTGTCAGTGTTTTGCTGAAATATATCCAATATTCTCATACACGACTTACTGTTTATAGTTTACAAACATCGAGTAAGTGGGAATACCAATGGTGATATCTGCTTTTGTATTCTTATTGCTCTCAGGGATATCATGGGAAGGTAATGTTATTTACATTGTTTTATTACAGTAACACTTGTCACACTCTTTTTTCCTCCCCCTTTTTCACTTAGTGTATTTTACATTTTCCATCATTTTTGCCTAAGTAACTTCTTGTGGCCAATGCTATGAGCCCTTATATATCTGTCATATTGGTTTTTGGCAAAAACAAGTGATGTAAAATGTCTCGGAACTTTCATTGTGTGCTGGGCCATTTTTGTTTTTTCCTACTTAAAGTATGTGTTTTCTGTGGAGAGCCCCTCCGGCACCCTGGAGCTATTCCGGGTTGATATGCATATATTAGATCGTGGCATCAGTCAACTCGATTGGAGTTCTAGCCTACCGGGGACCACGAGCCAGAACCTGGGCCCCTCAGAGAGGCTCGAGGAGCAATGGCCTATGAAACCCCCCATGTGATTGGAAGCATTCTATGTTTGCCATCTACCGGGTTAGGCACCCAGAAAGGTAAGCATCCCAAAACAGACTCCACTTGGTTAAAATTGCTACCAAAAACTGAACTATCCAACAGAACTCCACAATCTGAAAACAAGCAAACAAGCATGACGTCACAACCACTGCCGTGCTGTTGTTTGTGCAGCTCCTCCCTCCCTGGGAGGGGGAAGGGGAAGCCCCAGACCCCTCGGGCCGGCTACCCAACCTCAGTTCTGAGGCTGATGTGTTGCGTGGCGGTCATTTGACTCTAGCGCCTGTCTCTGAGCAGTACTGTACCTTTGTGGTTGTGTTCTCCTGTGAGGTGGTGTGTGAGCCAGGAGTAATTCAAGGAGTACTGGAGCTGCATGCGCCTAGGGCCACCAACCAAGGTGCCCTGTAAGTACTGCCCTTGCGTCTTGGGGTTATCTTCGACGAGTCATTCGGGAACTACCTCTGTAGGGATCTTTTGCTGCTCGGTGATTGCCTGCCTTTGGGGTCAGCTGGGGTTTTCATTTCCACTGTTTGACCTTGGGTAGGAGGTAGTATCTTCGCTGGTAGGGGCGCAAGATACTGTGCAGCATGTCACCTATTACACAGCGGACGGTTCTGTTCCTCCTGGAGACGTTAAACTTTTGCATTTTATTTTTGTTTTTTGTTTTTATGAAACACCATTTTCAGGGCGAGTCCTGAAGGCCACCCTCCCTCCCTCCGTTCGGCGTTTTTTCACGTTTTGATATTCAGCCACTGAACTGAGGTTGGGTAGCCGACACGAGGGGGTCTGGGGCGCCCTGTTCCCCCTCCCAGGGTGGGGAGAGCTGCGCAGACAGTGGCGCGGCATCATGCTTGTTTGCTTGTTTTCAGATTGTGGAGTTTTGCTTGATAGTTCAGTTTTCGGTAGCAATTTTAACCAGGTAGAGTCTGTTTTGGGATGCCTACCTTTCTGGGTGCTTAACCCAGTAGATGGCAAACATAGAATGCTTCCAACCACATGGGGGTTTCTATAGGTCATTGCTCCTCGTGCCTCTCTGAGAGGGCCAAGTTCTGACTCGTGGTCCCTGGTAGGCTAGAACTCCAATTGAATTGACTGATGCCATGGTCTAATACAGTACTGTATATGCATGTCAGCCTGGTATAGCTCCGGGGAGCCTCCGGGACTCGCCCAGAAAATGGCGTTTCATTACATTTAACACTGGTTTTATACCATCCAACTTTCATGCTCCCGGTATAATGTTTTGCTCTAAATTTGGTCCAGGGTTCCTTCTCCTTTTATTCTTCGCCACCTACTTTCCCTCCACAAAGACTTTCCTAATGTACTTGTACAAGATCTTGGCATTTGTAAAAGTATCAATGTGAAATAAACATTTAGACTTAGCATTTTAAAATAAAGAGATACCTTCAAAAAACAAAAGTAAATGTTAGATGTATTATTTAGTCAAGTATTTTCTTTCAGCCTCCTTGTATAGCAACTGAAATAAAAAAAGCAGAAATGTATTATATATTGTTTATGTGAATGTTTTACCCATAGTAGTGTAATTGATGTGGGAACACAATATTACAGGAGAGAACACCCAACAGTACCTGGTGGTGGTCACAAAGTGTGTCCGAGTGTGCACCATTCACAACTCGGCCATCTACAAGATTCAAGAAATTGACATTATCTCACTTCATTCTATGAGACTGCCAAATTATAAAGCCCAGGTCAGTATAAAAAATGTAGTATTTTTGTAATGTTCTTAATTATTACAAGGCATGATTTACCTATTGAGTGAACAGTGTTTAGTAATGTAACTTTAAGTACACCCACCACCCTTAAGTTGATGAAACTCCACTTGCTATCTTTTGATTTATAATTATGCTCGTATTTGTGTACGCATAACATGTACATTAGCCTAGTGTTAATCTTGTGAATACAATTACTGACCATAATGAATGCTCATAAATTATCCAACAAGAGCTGTCTCTTATGACAAGTCTTTTATTTATACAATTACAATTAGTTAATCTTTTTAGTGATTTTATTTCTAGGAAGAAGAGTCATGGATAAAAGAGATGAAAAAGTTGCTGGGGAATGAAAGCTTTTTCTTCAGTGTCAGCACTGGGAATGCTGAAGCTCTGGACCTCACCCTTTGTGCTCAGCGTCGCTTCAAGACCAATCGCACTGACAACAGATACTTCTGGTTAGCAGTTTTCCTTTATTATTGTGAATTGAGCTACTGTATTGTGTAATCTTGCTCTCTTGCTTTCCTCCTGGTGAGGGTGGTTTATAAATGATGATTTGAAAAGTTATGTGAGAGAAGGAAAACTGAAGGAGAGGGGAAGAGGGAAAATGGGGGGTGGGGTGGAGGGGGGGAGCAGAAATATAGACATCAATGAAAATTATTCCCAAAGCATTTTTTGTACAAATACATGGGTGGCATATGTTTTAAAATCATAAGCATGAGATGTATCTAAATGCTTGGCGGATCTGTAGTAAGTGATCATAAGTGTACTTGTATTTCCAGGAATCGGATGCTGCATCTGCACTTGAAACGATTTGGTGTAGACTGTCAACAGTGGTTAACTAAGGTTATGTGTGGGAGTGTTGAATTCTCATCCATCTACATGAATAACCACACCCCCAAGATTCTCATCATCTCCAGACTCAGCTGTGAGAGAGCTGGCACAAGGTGGGTCTAGCTCTGTTGGGGTTTTAGGGAATATTTTATGGAATTAATCCAATCTATTGCTTCTTTAAATCAAAGAAATGGCTTTAAAATGTGTAGGAATGATGCACAATATATATATATAGGACTTCTAGAATAAACATGGGATAAAGGTAGTTGATTGAAAATATTTTGGAAAGAGTAAGTGGAATCTCGCGTGCGCGCACAAAATCTCCACATGGTTTGTGTAGTGGTTCTTAACAGAAGGCCTATGTACCTCTAGGTGTGGCTTCTGGCAGTCTGCTGTTACGTTTCCTTGGACACTGACCTGGTTCTGCTTTGTAGATTTTCAGGGATGTCTTGTTCAGTTCTTCACACTTGTTCATCATTCTCCAAGAGTGTGTTCCTTCCTGTTCCCACAGTCTAATCACATGATCTCGTGCTGTTTCCCTTTTTATATGGCTATTCTACAAATTAGGTTGGTTCTTTGCTTTTTCATAATTTCATTATCAATTCGCCGCTCTGCTTCTCTTCTGACTGTGGTGTACAGTACCTTTTCTGGCCCTCTTGCAGGCCTCTCTTTTTGCTTCCCAGGGCACTATACTTTTGCCATTTTATTATTATTTTTTTCCACTTGCACTCTCGAACCGTGAATTTACTGTTTTTTCCTCATTTACTTCATTCTTGTGAGGTATAAACTGTGTTCCATTGCTTTTGTGCATTGCTGTGTTAGGAATTTTATACACGCCAGATACATATCATTTGGCAACATTCTTTCCTATTTTTTCCTCTCGCTATACGTCTTGCAAGTAGGTCATAATCTTCTTGTAGACCCTTCTGCAGTTTTCTTTCTTCTTGGGTTATGTATTTTCTTGTACGCTTCAACCTGTTTCTTTGACTACCGCTTTCAATTCTGCAATACAATTGCACACACACTAACACAATGGTCACTGATTCCTAGTGGCATCTTGTGTTTTACATTTTCTAAATCTTTTTTGTTTTGATGGATGCATAGATAGATGGATAGTTGAGTAGGTAGCTGGATTGGATAGATGGATGGATAGATGTACAATACTCTTATATTCTTTGTGTACACACTTTTGAATAATCATTCAATTGAATTGAATGGGTAGATGGATGGATAGATGGATAAGTAGGGGGATACATGGATGGATAGATGAATGGTTAGATAGATGGATAGATAGGATAAATAGGGGGACAGACAGACCTGGGCAATGTTGGGTACTCCCCTAGTGTACTCGCCTAGTTGTGAGAGTAGCAATTTGTACATCAGTGTGTGCATATATAATAATTCCTGATTGTATGAATGAGTTGGATTTCAATGTCAGCATCTCCTTACAGATTTATGGTGCGTGGCGTCAACGATGGAGGACATGTTGCAAATTTTGTTGAAACGGAACAGATGATATCCATCGATACAATGGATGATCTTGTTTTATCGTACATCCAGACTCGTGGAACTGTACCATTATTCTGGGAACAGCCTGGCCTTAATGTAAGTTTTAAACAGTTAGATATAAGTAGGTTTTTCCCTCCTACAAACTATTATACTGAACATAAGCAAAATCATCAGAGTTACCTGATCTGTATATAGTGCTCTCCAATACATGCTTGATGGTCGTCTAGTTAATACCAAAAAATTAATCTTCACTGCCTGTAAACTGCTAATATAGAAATACTAAATAATAATTTAGACTTGACAGGTTATGTTATTACATGTTAAATGATCAGTCAAGGTTTCTATTGAGTGAATCTTTGGAGCAGGACGGGGATCGAACCAGCGTCCTGGGTAACCTCAGATGCGTACCTTAACCCCATGGACCATGACATGCTAAAGCTTATACAATCTGGATCTGCCTGGATCCAATAGGAGTCAGGAGGCACCGAGCTGGTAGCCAATTCAAGTTTTATGCATATACAGTAGAATGCTGTAGATAATGGAGTTCTCCATCAAACACTCCCTCCAAATACACAAGGAAATCAGTACAGTATAATGTGATACATCTATACAAAAATCTTTGGTGCAGGGTGGGGATTAAAAAGGGCTGACTCCATGGCAACCTCTTGAGCACAAAATTGCAAATGGGCAAAAGAATTGAAGCAGCTACCGCTTGTGAAGTACCTTTACTATAAAATAAAAAATAAAAAAAATCAACAGATGAAGACCCTAGCCAGTGTCTCCATCAAAATAAACTCAGTAAATCCAAACATTGCAGGCATAATACAGATAGTACAAAATGACCATCAGCATGAAGCAGAATCAATTGGTATCCCTCAAACACACAAGGAGTAGAGGCTTGGTGGGCCGATCAATGAGCCGCAGCAATGACCTGTGTGATTTAGCAGAGCCTGAAGGTAAAGACCAAGCAGAACACCCAGGCACTAAGGTAGCTCTCCGAAATAAACACACACTTAACGAAGCCCTTAGGAAAACTTGGAATCAAATTGCTTCAAGTTGAAGTTCCTTGGAATCTTCAACAGGTAGTCAACAGGTATATAAGGCAAGTTGTCCACTTTTGAGTATGGGCTTCTTTATATATACTTTAATGCATGTGTTCCAGGTTGGCTCGCACAAGGTGAAAATGTCTCGGGAACCAGAGGTGTCCGTTCAAGCATTCCAGAAACACATGCGTTTTTTACGAGAACGTTATGGTCAGCAGGTGGTCATTAACCTCTTGGGAACAGGCGTTACTGGCCGAAGTCAGGGTGAGGCAGCACTGTCCCATGTCTTTCAGGTAGGTCAACCTTTATCATCAAGCTTAATCATGAGGAAATCCTCTAATGTTTCAGTGAAGGCCAGAGTTTCATAATACTGTGTAAATGTTGAGTGGATAGAGATCTTTTTATCAATAACAGCTTAATTATTTGCATATTTTTATCCAGTTATGTAATTACAGTACTCATTATGTCTATTATCAAGTACTCTCAATAGATTTATTTCATTGTTGCAGTTCTTTAAACTTGTTAACACTTTCGCCCGGGCATGACGCAGCATTGCGTCATCCGTTTACTGGCGGTAATTCCGGGGATGACGCAGCATTGCGTCAGCCACTTTAAATAATCGCCAAAAATCAGGTTTTTATCCGATTTTTTTGGGACTGGTTTTAAAATGCGCGCCGATGTCTTCCCATTTTCTTTGTTGAGCCTCGTGGCCCTCAGGCAGCTTGGCACATGCCGTGGGCCCATTGTTTTCGCTCCACTGTTGTGACCAATGTCGCCTCCCCTCGCATCTCAAACGTGTGAACATTTCGGCTATTTTCCGTGGCTATATTTCTTACTGCGGCTTTAGAAACTATCTACGCTTACTCCACGATGGATAGTGATCATGAACAAGGCCCTTCCAGGAAGAAAATTGCGAAAGAAAGGCTTGAAAAGGGCGGGATTTGGGAGTGTAGCTGGAAGGCGGCTGAGCACTCACTCGGGGCTAACGCGTGGCCCGTCTTCAACTCGTCGGCGGTTGGAGCGTGACCAGGTTTTTTATTTTATATGCTAATGTTCCTCTAGAGAATTCTATTGCGAACCCATTGAGACCAAAATGAAAGACTTAGGATAAAAATTGAGGTGACCAGAGTGAAAATAGTGAAAACATTTTATCGCGTTTGCGCACTCCTGGGTAACTTGTTCGCACTTTCTCTGTTTGCTGCGGGTAATTAGCCGGGCTTTTGGAGCTTATATGCATTTAGTGCTGTAGAAAATTCTATTGCGAACACAATGATACCAAATTTAATCTCGTAGGACGAGAATTAAGGTGACAAAGTTGAAGAGAGTATACACTTTTCATAATTTACGCGCACTCCCGTGACACCCTGGGTCCCATATCGCACAGTTGAGGGGTGGCGGGCGGGGTGCACCAAAGTGTTAATTAAATTTGTTTTATCCTTTGATACAATTTTTAAATCATAATGCCTCATCTGTGTTACAGCATATCATATATCTTCAATTAGATTGTTTATAGAGGGAACTGGAAAGTGATGAAAATCTCGGTAAACTGGACTGACTGTGATAAATAAGTAGTAATTCTGGGAGGTAGTCTACAGTAGCTCTCCAAGCTTAGCTCTGGTATTGCCAAAGTCTTTGCTGATCATACCAGATCTCTCAGACCTATCACTGCCTCTCAAATGCCAGGACTACAATCTAGCTCATTAAACAGGGCAAAAGGATCTTGGGGATCAGAGATCAACCCAAAACTGAGAAATAAACAAATGAGAAACATACCTAACAAAACATATGACTGCTTGAAGGAAATTAGACAGCCCAAGGTAAACAAGGTAAATTGTAAAAAGGAATTATATTAATGTGATATATCAATGAGAAAATCTGTAGGAGCCATGAGGAGGATTCGAACCTATGCTCTGGGTACTCCAAAGGAAAGGCCTTAGACCACTACACTACAGCATGGTCAAACCATGTTGCACTTCAAGCAACACCCCTATTACACCAAGCTCATACAAGTCATACCTGGACCCGGGCTGGGCTTGGGGAGTAGAAGAACTTCCAGAACCTCATCCAGGTACAAACCCCAGGTGACCTGGGTTGCCATTTGTTGGTAGTCAGGTAATTACCTAAGTGTAGTTACAGCATGGGAGTTATGCTCGTGGTGTCCAGTCTTCCCAGCACTCTGTCTTATAACGCTTTGAAACTACAGGTACTGACGGCTTTGGCCTCCACCACCACCTCACTTAACTTGTTCCGACTACTCTGTTTGCGAAAGTGACTGTCTGTAATTAAGGGGGGGTTTTCCCTGCAGCCACTTTTGTAGATTGGAAATATGTTAGCCTTTTTCCACATATCTGCTAGGACTCCTGTACACAGAGATTCCTGAAAAATCAATTGAAGTGGAATTCTGAGCTCGGGTGCACAATTCTCTCAGAACCCAAGGTGAAACTCCATCTGGGCCTATTGCTTAGGTTCTTCCATAGCTCCTTGACCATTTTTTCCACTTGCATTACAGTTTGGGTATTTATAACACAACATTTATCATTTGCATCGAGTACCTTAGGGTACTTAATATCCTTCTATTAGTTTCTTGTTTTTTGTGCCTATGCTTTCTCGTGGGTTCTGGGTTAATCTCTGATCTCGAAGCTCCATTTGCCTCCAACAACAAAACAGTTCTGGTCCTGACTTCTGAATTTTTACTCATAAAATCTGAATTTGGGTTCCAAAACCCAAATGGAATTTAGAGGAGGATTAAGAACCGACTGTCTGAGTTGATGTGCACAGATTTACAGGGCCGGCGGCTGAGCGGACAGCACGCTGGACGCGTGATCCTGTGGTCCTGGGTTTGATCCCGGGTGCCGGCGAGAAACTATGGGCAGAGTTTCTTTCACCCTATGCCCCTGTTATCTAGCAGTAAATAGGTACCTGGGAGTTAGTCAGCTGTCACGGGCTGCTTCCTGGGGTGTGTGTGGTGTGGGGAAAAAAAATAGTAGTAGTTAGTGACAGTTGATTGACAGTTGAGAGGCAGGCCTAAAGAGCAGAGCTCAACCCCCGTAAGAACAACTAGGTGAATACAGATGATACTGTTCTTCAAAAGAACAGAACAGAAGCTTTGTTGATGTGTGCAATAAAAATTATGATGATTGTGGAAAATAATGTTGATGAAAACAGGAATAATGGATGTTATAAATAAGACTAAATTCATGTATAATAAGTGTTTATAGTTGTGATATCTCTCACATCAGAAAATTAAGAAATGACAATGTTTCATTACACTACTTGATACTTGTCGAGGATTGACCGAAACGTGGCCTAGGATCAAATGAAATGTTGCCGTTTCTTAATTCTTTTTACGTGTGGTTTGGATATCATATCTTCAGCCACGTTATTGTGAATCTCTGAGTATCTATAGTTGCTAGCCCCCTGTGAAATGTAACTAGGAAACACCAGCAAAATATCCACAGCAGTATCTGGGTGGTGTTGCACACAAGTATAGAGTGCACTAATTGAGCTGTCACAACTGAAATGTTAGCAGACTGCCTCCAGTCAGTTCTGGTCACTGTTTGTGCTGAAGATGGCAGCTATGATGCGAGATGTATATTCAGTCATTATCATGCTTCTCTGCTCTTGAAGGGTGGGTAGGCATCAGCCAAGAATATACAATATACAATAATGAAAGATAAAAACTAACAAATGTTTTAATATTTGTTTTCAGATCCAACACATTAACTGCCCTTGGAGTAAGGACTCTCCTCATATTGTTTTTGATTTTCATCAAGAGTGTAAAGGTGGACACATAGAAAATTTAAGTAAAAAACTCGTACCTCGAATTCAAGAAGAAATGGAAACATTTGGATATTTCTGCTCCAGAAAGGGACAGGTGCAGTCAGTAAGTTCTTTACAACTAACAGTTGGGGATTATGATGCTATTCATTATTGTCGCTTCTAGGGGGACCGAATGGTGGCTCCTTGTAGCTAGTTATAGTGAGAACTCCATACAAGTCACATCAGTCTTAGGAGTTTGGACTAGTTTATCGGCGACAAGAGCCAAAACTTGGCCCCCTCCCCCCTCTCACAGAAAAGAAACCAATTAAAAGAGTTGTAAGGTTCTCAGTGAAAAGAAACAAAGCAGCAAACGACTCCACAAATGACTTTTCCAGTTGTCAGTTTTGAACTAGTGGCAGCACCACTTGGAGCTACCAGCTTTCCATGTCAACATTCCTCAGTTTGTCGCCTGCTGTCCAGCTATTTGGACTGCTTCTTGAGTCGCCAACCTTTTGGGTCCCAACTATTTCTCGATAAGTGTAGGACTTTGTCCTGTAGGAGCCCATTGGCTTGTGTATTGTTCCACGATTTAGTGTTAGCTTCATGTGTGTATTCACAAGCTTCACTTATGTGAATTTTAGGTACTGTTCGCTTCAAGCTGCATGAGCTTAGGGCATCCTTTCCCAAGGCGCTCATTTAGTGATGACCCTGCCCTGATAGAATACATTCTCTTGTGGGTTCAGGAGTTCCATCCCATAGATGCTGGCTTACTCTTTAGGGTTCCTTGCTTCAAGAAGTACAAGGGTCTTTGAAACCTCTGTAAGGTGTTGGAATTTTCTTAATCAAGGGGGGTGCACTAGGGTTTGGATGCTGGTTGATATGGCACTTCACTGATGGCCTACATGGCCTTGTTTATCCTTAGGTCTATGTTTGGTATTTTCTTTCAGCATGTATCCCTAGGTGTCCTGCTTGGTCATTTCTGTTAGGCCATGGTAAGCCCCATAGGCCTTGATGTGACTTTTCATAAACTATCTACCAAGCCCGCACTTGCTACTTGCAAGTTTGAGGGATGTCTTTCGACATTGCTACATGATGATGATCATTTATTATCTTTGCCATGCTGCCTGTTGAGTGGGTGCTACCTTCTACCTTGAGGGTTGTGTCATTTGTGTTTGCTGGGGTCTCTATTCTAGCAGAGCTTGCTTCTTGACAAAAGGCTTATTAGGCAGCAGCTCCTTTATGGGAGTGATTCTCCCATATTCATTGTTTGCAGCTTGGTGCTTGCTTGTATGCCCCAGAGTTGGCCCCTTTGGTGTTTAAGGATTTGTAGTGGCTGGTGAATTCCACCTGTTTCAAGTTTGCTACTCCTTCTCTTTCTCCAGTTCTATCTAACAGTTTGCCATGCCCTTGGGCCCCCTTCCCTCTTCCATGGCTCTGAAACGTCCGAGGGTTTCAGATTTTGGGCAGGGTTTAGCTGTGGGTGTAACTTGGCAGTCCAGAGATGTTCCTCACTGATTCGATGTTCTCCTCCGATCTTTGCGTCTCAAATTATTGACACCAATATCATCACCAATGGTGATGTCTATCACCATTTGTGTGGTGCACAGGTGACTTAACCTTTTGTTGCCAGTTTGTGGCTCTGGTCTCCAGTAGGTTATTAAGGATGTCCAGGGCTGATACGACTTGTGTGTAGAGCTTTCTCAGTGCGGCTAATTACTGGGATCCACCGAGGCCCGACCAGAAAGAGGCATTTCATTACATCCATCACTTTTTGTTCAGATAATGTTGATGTAGTGAACATTAGAATTAAGAAGCAATGGTGTGTATAATTATGAAGGGAAGATGGTTGTAATGTAATGAAAGATTGGTATGCAAATAGTGGAGAGGGTCATTATTGGGTAAAGATAGTTATGTAGTGAATATGGTGCTCATGTGATGGTCATTGTTATTACCAGAGTGTAATTTCCTAATGTGTGTAAAATACTTAGTTTACATAGTGGATGTAGTGCTTGTTTTGTGCAGATGGTGCTCATATGGTAGTGGTGTTCATAGAGCGGAGATTGTTGTCACAGCAGAGGTAGTAATGTGTGGAGAAGTTGGTCATTGTATGGTATACTGAAGATGGTGAACCAGTGGTAGGGGATCGCTTATATAATACCTGTAACCTGTATTTGTATAGAATTGCATATAAATGTATTTAAACGTAATTATGTCAGTAATATTCTCCTTTACCCAAAATTACAGCTGCAACGGGGCACTATGAGAACAAATTGCCTGGATTGCCTAGATAGAACAAACAGGGTTCAAACTTTCCTGGGCTTAGACTGTCTTAACAAGATGTTGGAGGATCTTGGAGTTGCCAACAATGGAGTGATTGTTCAGCGATTTACAACCAAACTTGAGGAAATGTGGAAGGACAATGGTAATCGCATTAGCCAGATATATGCTGGAACTGGAGCACTGCAAGGCTCGAAGGTAAGCCACTGATAACACCTGTTGGATTTTTTATATTTTAGTCCTTACTTCCTGTGCCTGATGACAAGATGAGTCAGCATAGTGTAGCCTATCATCCTTTTTCATTGAAATACATTGAAATGAATGTAATAGGATCTTCCAAAATTGTAAAACACCGTCAGATTGTTCACTGCATTCTACAAGATAGGTCAGGTTGAGACCTGTACTTTTCAATCATTCTTACAACCTCTGTACAAGATTTCTTCTCAAGTCGTCCTCTAGCAAGAACTTTCTCCACATGTTTCTGCAGTCAAACACACTCTAGCTGCTCGAGCTTAACTGGCTTATAGCATCACAGTAAAAGAGAAACACTCCTCTGCCATCCCTACAGAAGTGACTTAGGGCATGTGAATGGAATTACTTAAATGTTATAGAGGGGCAACTCATTGTTGATAGACAGCCTTATTTTCCCTCATATCAAGTTGTCTACACGGTAATGTGAATGTGCTGTCTGGGGGTTTGCCTGTATGTTTTTGCTCCTCATTTCACTATATAATTATATTTTGTATTCAATTCATTATTTCAGCAGTTTGATCAGCCCACATGTTGTATTTTTTGGGGGGAGCCCCGTCGGCTCCCCGGAGCTATCCAGGCTGAATGGATATGTATAACTTTCTGGCATCAGTCAAAGTGCTAGGAGTTCTTGCCTACCGGGGACCACGAGGCAGAACCTGGCCCCCTCAGAGAGGCACGAGGAGCAATGGCCTATAGAAACCCCTTTGTGATTGGAAGCATTCTATGTCTGCCATCGACCAGGACAGGCACCCAGAAAGGTAGGCGCCCCCAAAGCAAACCCCTATTCTGGTGAAATTATTGCTACCGAAAACCGAACGAGTGGACAAAACTCCCCAAACAAAATTATCAAACTAGTATGACGTCATCATGTCGCCGCGCCACCGTCTGCGCAACCCCCCCCTCCCCGAGAGGGGGAAGGGGGAGCCCCAGACCCTCTATGCCGGCGATCCAACTGGCAGTTCTTGGCTGATGGTATTACTGGCTGGTCGAGTGCCTCTGGCTCCGGTTTTTGTTTCAGTTCTGTGCCTTGTGGTGTGGACCGTCTCTACCGGTGAGGTGTGAGCCAGGAGTAAGATTCCACGGTACTCGGGCTGCATGTGCCTAGGGCTATCTTCCCTAGGTGCCCTGTAAGTACTGCCCTTGGGGCTTGGGGCCACCTTCCACAAGTCACCTTGGGTTCTGCCTCTGCTGTGTCCTTTACTGCTCAGTACTGGGCCACCCTTGGAGTCGGCTGGGGTTTTGTTGCCCTGGTTTGTCTCTGGGTAGGTGGTAGTTTTCATCACTGGTAGGGGCGCGGGGTACTGCACAGCTAGTTTTCACCATTAACAGCGGCCGGCTCTGTTCCGCCTGGGTATGATGTCCTCTTGCGGGGTTTTTCTTTTGTTTTTGTTTTTGCCTGGTGGGGGGTCTGCCTTTACTATGGTCCCCCTTTCCTGTTCTAGGTGAATTTCTTTCGAGTTCTTCTGTTGGCGGTACTCCCCGCTTGGCCCCCGTGAGTGGACACGTCCCGGGGGTTCAGCTTTAGCAGTTCGTTGGTAGATTTGGGCGCCGGTTCGCGGTACCCTGCCTGGGCTTCCCTTAGCGTGTACCAAAGGCTAAGGTCCCTGGGAAACCCCATGGGGGCTCCGTGGTCCTCTAGGTGTGTCCCCGGAGTCCCCCTTGCGTCCTGCGAGTTTGACGGTTGATCTGTCCCCTTGTCTCAGGGTGACACTCACCGGTTGTGCCTCCGCCATGCTGCCTGTTGGGTCCTTGTTCTTGTGACCCGGAGTCGTCTGATGATTGTTGTCGGTACGCGCTCCTTCACCCAGGCCACTGGTCTTGATAATCGGATGCAGGCGGCTGCGGCGTTGCTTGCTGGGTGTGTTGCTGCAATGCTCTTGGTTTGTGGCCCCGGATGCCCCGAGGCTGCCCCGTTTTGGTGGTTGGGGTCTGGACTTGGGGGTGGGGGTCGCTTCGGCTCTGGCTCCTTCCGCTTCTTGTTCCTCCCCTTCTGTTCTACTCACTTCCTCCCTTGCTTCCTGCTCCGAACCATAGGCGGGTTTCGGGGTTGGGGCGGGGTCTGGTCGAGTTGAGACTCGGGCGGTCTCGGGGGTTTCCCTCTTCCGGGGTGGCGGCGGAGGCATTCGAGTCGGTTCCTCCAGCCGTGCCGTATGGGTCTGACCAGTGGGCTCCCTTCATTAGTGTTTGCACGGCTGCCCCGGCTTTTCCTTGTTAGCTGGGGCTTTGGGGGTGTGGCTCGGCCCTGGGTCATGCCGTAGAGGTTCCCAGGGTTAGGGAGGGGTTGCCTGGGGGGCCTTGGCCCCGTTTGCCCCTCTTAGGTCCTTGTACCTTTGGTGTGGAGCTGGCAGTTCCTCAGTGGGGTTGTTCCTTCCCTCTGTGTTCCTGTTGTTTTCGGGTATACCCCTCCCTGGGTTTCGGTTCCGTGTTCCTTTGGGTTCGTTCCTGGTGGTGTGTTTCACCCCCTTTTCCTTACCTTTTTCGCTCTTATGTCGCGATGCTGTTCACACACACACAAAAAAAAAAAAAAAAAAAAAAAAAAAATACAAAGTGTTCAGGTAAGGTGCATCCATACAAGGTGTGAAACAGACATTGATGGATTTCTATATTGACCTAGTGCATAGTGCCTAAACTGCTTTGTATCGTTGTCCCTGCATGTTCATTGGTCAGGGGTGCTTGTCATGGTTCTTGTTGGTTTGCGAGTCTCTTCGTACCTTCCAATATTATTGGAACGTCTGTTGATTTTCGATGTGGTTTCCATCGGGTCTTTTGTCGGCCTTGTTGGTTCCCTTCCATCATCTGTTTTCTTTCGCTTTGTTTTCGCCTTGTTTTCGCGTCGTCTCTACTTTCAGTTTCGGCGTTCTTTGTCTTCGTTCCGCACGCCTTCCTGGTGTTTGTACAATGTCTTACGTTGTGTGTACGATTTGTGTCCGCCTGGTGTACGAGCCACGCCTCCCGGTGGACGGGTGCGTTTCGTACCTCGTGTACTCACCTAATTGTACTCACCTAATTGTGCTTGCGGGGGTTGAGCTCTGGCTCTTTGGTCCCGCCTCTCAACCGTCAATCAACTGGTGTACAGATTCCTGAGCCTATTGGGCTCTATCATATCTACATTTGAAACTGTGTATGGAGTCAGCCTCCACCACATCACTTCCTAGTGCATTCCATTTACTAACTACTCTGACACTGAAATAGTTCCTTCTAACGTCTCTGTGGCTCATTTGGGTACTCAGCTTCCACCTGTGTCCCCTTGTTCGCGTCCCACCAGTGTTGAATAGTTCATCCTTGTTTACCCGGTCGATTCCCCTGAGGATTTTGTAGGTTGTGATCATGTCCCCCCTTACTCTTCTGTCTTCCAGTGTCGTAATTTGCATTTCCCGCAGCCTTTCCTCATAACTCATGCCTCTTAGTTCTGGGACTAGTCTAGTAGCATACCTTTGGACTTTTTCCAGCTTCGTCTTGTGCTTGACAAGGTACGGGCTCCATGCTGGGGCCGCATACTCCAGGATTGGTCTTACATATGTGGTGTACAAGATTCTGAATGATTCCTTACACAGGTTCCTGAACGCCGTTCTGATGTTAGCCAGCCTCGCATATGCCGCAGACGTTATTCTCTTTATGTGGGCTTCAGGAGACAGGTTTGGTGTGATATCAACTCCTAGATCTTTCTCTCTGTCTGTTTCATTAAGTACTTCATCTCCTATTCTGTATCCTGTGCCTGGCCTCCTGTTTCCACTGCCTAGTTTCATTACTTTGCATTTACTCGGGTTGAACTTCAACAGCCATTTGTTGGACCATTCACTCAGTCTATCCAGGTCATCTTGTAGCCTCCTACTATCATCCTCTGTTTCAATCCTCCTCATAATTTTTGCATCGTCGGCAAACATTGAGAGGAACGAATCTATACCCTCTGGGAGATCATTTACATATACCAGAAACAGTATAGGTCCAAGGACTGACCCCTGCGGGACTCCACTTGTGACGTCTCGCCAATCTGAGACCTCACCCCTCACACAGACTCGTTGTCTCCTGTTGCTTAGGTACTCCTCTATCCACCGGAGTACCTTCCCTCTCACTCCAGCCTGCATCTCCAACTTTCGCACTAGCCTCTTGTGTGGCACTGTATCAAAGGCTTTCTGACAAACCAAAAATATGCAGTCTGCCCACCCTTCTCTTTCTTGCCTTATTTTTGTTGCCTGGTCGTAGAATTCAAGTAACCCTGTGAGGCAGGACCTGCCATCCCTGAACCCATGTTGATGCTGTGTTACAAAGTTCCTTCGCTCCAGATGCTCCACTTGTTTTTTTCGCACAATCTTCTCCATCAGCTTGCATGGTATGCAGGTTAGGGACACTGGCCTGTAGTTCAGTGCCTCCTGTCTATCCCCTTTCTTGTATATCGGGACTACGTTAGCTGCTTTCCAAATATCTGGCAGTTCCCCTGTTGCCAGTGATTTGTTATACACTATGGAGAGTGGTAGGCTCAGTTCTCTTGCTCCTTCCTTTAGAACCCAAGGGGAGATTCCATCTGGGCCTATAGCCTTCGTCACGTCCAACTCTAGTAAACACTTCCTTACTTCCCCACTGGTAATCTCAAACTCTTCCAGTGGTTCCTGGTTAGCTATTCCCTCACTTACCTCTGGAATTTCTCCTTGCTCTAAGGTGAAGACCTCCTGGAATTTCTTATTCAATTCCTCACACACTTCCTTGTCATTTGTAGTGAATCCTTCCGCCCCTATCCTTAATCTCATAACCTGTTCCTTTACTGTTTTTTTTCTCCTAATGTGGCTATGCAACAATTTAGGCTGAGTCTTTGCCTTGCTTGCGATGTCATTTTCGTATTGTCTTTCTGCCTCTCTTCTCATCCTGACATATTCATTCCTGGCATTCTGGTATCTTTCTCTGCTCTCCAGTGTCCTGTTATTCCTATAGTTTCTCCATGCCCTTTTACT